CCCTATAGCTGCTATGGTGCATGCCCACACTTCAATAACTGTTTGATTATCAGCATGAAGAGAGTCTGCTCAACACTAGCTTCCTGCAGTTGCACTTGCTCTTGAATACCTGCAGAAGTAGCAGCACTGCAGCACATACATGCAAGCAGCTCCAGCCCCTCCCATGCATGTAGATTGAAAGGTGTGGCATTCCATGACTGGTATGAGTGGCAGCAAGAAGACCATGTGAGAAAGAAGCTTCACTTTTTCTTTACTAATCAGCAATATATGATAAACTTGCTGACAAAAAAAGTTGCTGCCTTTGTATATTTGAGATAGTATAGGTACTTTAGTACCTATAACCCAGCAAGTTGTTGCTCTAGCGCTGCACGAACGAGTGACCTCAACAATTTCAAGTAAGTATAACTCTTCATCAAGTAAGATTTAGAGAAATCTGTTCATAATTTTTGAAGGCCATGTTCTAATCTACTGAAAAATGCTACCAGCTATCTCTAAAGTGCTAACACAACGGAACTTGGCCCAACTACTCGATTTTCTTACTTTGAAGCTTCTGTACCTAGCACTTGTATTTGAGCAACACAAAACAGTTGAGAAAGACTTTTCCACGTCAAAAAGAAAGATCTAGGAGCTTAGAACACGCTGTGCTAAAGTTACTGTTTATTAAAAACAAATTTCAGTTGTACAGAATGAATGAATGAATGACAGACACACACAACAACTACCTATACCTCGCGTAGGCGAGGCCAACAACTCACAGTGGCTAGGGTAGCAAACTTTAGATCCTGCACTTTAAACATAATACGAACCTAAAGAGTATACGGAGATTCACTAATAATATACTAAACAAAATAACACAATATTAAAAATTATGGGTGCTCTGATCTTAGTCATTTTTGGTGAAATTTGGCAGGGTCCCTGTACTATAGTACAGGGGTGTCAGCCAAATTTTGCCAAAAATGTCAAGTAGAGAATTCTCAATTTTTATAACATTTTCTGATGCATATACATGTTCTTATGTTGTGTAGAAAGTTTGAGCTGATTCCGGTTGAATTTGGCTTTTTTATGAATTTTTAAGTTGCTCACAAATTGGGTCAAAGTCCCTGTACTACAGTACAGGGACATCAGCTAAATTTTGCCAAAAATGTCAAGTAGAGAATTCTCAATGATCCTGTTAATAAATACATAATTAATACACAATCAATTAATAAATAATAAATAAATAAATAATAATAAATATAGTGTAAATAACTAAATAATGAATAAATAAATAATAAATAAGTAATTAATTAATACAATAAAATGATAAATAAATAATTAATAAATAAATAATTAATCAATAATAATAGATCATGTGATAGTCATGTGACGTGTGTGTGTGAAAATCAAATTAATACAGTACAAGATGGCAGACAGCATAAATTCATAAAAATTAAATCTGAAAAATTTTAAGCCCTTGAAATCTATAGCTCTCAAAAAAAGGCACCATACAGTAAATAGGGTACATAATGTATTCCTTACTTTCTGAGTATGTGAGTGAAGAGTCCATCAGTCCCTCCCTAGTGTTAGGATCAAGGACTCTGTAAAGGTCTCCCTTTGATATTACCTTGGGATCTATGACATGAGCCACACCCTCAACACCTTCAGCTTCTCAAGCGCCTTCAGGAGAACCTTCCAGGCTGAAGACTTTCCACTTCCACTGGGGCTGACCATCATCACACCATGAGCCAACAACTGGATCTGATACAACTGCAACACCTTTAAAAATAAATAATAATAATAATTGCTACAGCTACATGTACAGTAGTGCATGTAATTAATGTAAACTTTTATAAATGTACATGCATAATGTAG